CCTACAATACTTAGATTAGCAGTTTAAATAGTAAATTAGCTATTTAGATATTAGAAATAAGAAAATGTTAAAATTAGATGTACCGTAAGGTTTCAAATTTATACATTTTAGTTCCACAAGTATTGTGTTCAAATTAGAAAATAACTTTTTTTTATAACAATACTTAATATTTTTTATTTAAAAAATCTAGAATTGTCAATCAACATTTATTTTATATAGCATAGTATGTTTCAGACAATTTTGAAAATGTATTTACTTAACCTTGAATTTTATTTTGTCTTAAACCAAAATATACACATGGCTTAAAATTAAATCATCCAATTGAGTGAGTTGAATTTCTTTAATAGTTTACATAAAATAAACTGTTTCGGAATGTCCACCTAACTTAACTAACCAACTGAACTACCAAAAATTACTGATTATATTATAAGCAATATAATATTTAAAAAAAAATCTAATAATATATTACGAAAAGATAAATCAAATTTACTGTAATTTACTGTATATATTTATATTTTTTTTAGTTTTCGGGATTCAGTAAGCTTTTTAACGCTTCATTAGTACAAATATGCTAACATGTAAACATGTGTGGGATTTCCAAAAACTCTTAGAACCTGATGATTCTGCGGTTGAGTCTGAATGGCAGAAAATACAACAGATATATGAAAATTGTTGATGTCCCTTACTCAGAAATCCGGTTAATCCATATGTGAGTATTTTACTATTCTGCAATATCTTACATTTACATTTTACATAAGTATCAGATATATTATATACAATTTTTACTTCTAAATATCATTATTATTATTTGTTAACTGTTTTTAGGCTCCAAACCATGTGGATGAGCTTTTGACGACAGGGAGTGTCCGAGCACCCATACCCCCCCCCCCCCTGAATCCGCGCCTGGAATATAATATCAATGGCCTCAGCAGGTACATCTTTATCTACACTCATACACAACTTGATCTCGTCTTTCCAAGTGTTTTGTTCGTCAATAACAACTCATTGTCCAACAAACTGTATCCAACACAAATAAAGTATCTGTTATAAGCAAGTTTTACTTACGTCAAGCATAGAATTTCCAATATACTTTTCTGGCAATTTTCTTGAGGCAGGAGTAACCTTCCGCATGGCACTACGAACAATCACAAAGGATTTACTGGGTTTACTGAACAATTAATGTGCAATACACTTGAACATTAATTACGATTACACACATCAATAGCTATATTATTTCAACTTTTGTCTGTAAAATAGTCAAACCAAAAATCGATTTTTAACAGCCGATTTTTTTAGTCACTGAATAATCGATTAAGTAGTAAATAGATTTTTTTTTAATATAGATTTTATATTGATTTTTTTTTTTTCAAATTTTTGATCAAGTATATAATTTTTATTTGATACAGATTTTTTAATTAAATACAGTATTTTTTTGAATATTAATTGTTTTATCAAGTATATATCGTGTATATATTTAGTTTGGCTTCATTTATTGAATTTAGAATATTTTATAAAAATATAATATTTTACATTATAATCACGTTTTTTTTCTATTTAGATATGTTTCAGATTATTTTTTTTATATTCAATCATGATTTATTTTATTAAATATAGATTTACAAATAGACAAAATATTGTATTGATGATCAGTTATATCAATTTGTATAACACCAGCCTGAGGTTTATTTATTAAATTATTATTTTTAACAAAAATGTGATCTATACACGATTTGGCTATATTTGAATACCTAGTTAAATATTATGTAAATATGGTTTTTCTAATTTTCAATTTTAATATATAATTTATTATATAACTCGATATTTTTCCATTACTAGAAAAGTCTGTGAATTCTTAATATTATGTTTTTGTTAATAAGTAACCATGACTACAAAAACCTTACGAAAAACTAGTGGGAAACAAAAAACATGTATCCAGCCAAAAAACCTATTTATGTTAAAATATTAATCGCAGGGGACTTGCCATTTGTCGAAATTGTGTATATTATTATTTATTAATTCTATAAACAATGAATTTTCAAAATATTTACATTCATTTTAAGCTGTTTAGGTACACAACACACTTTTATTATTTACACTCACCGTTCTATGGTACATCGGTACTCAATGTTTATAGTTAATTACAGCTAGGCACCTAGTAGTTATATTGTAGTAAATAATAGTTTAATAATAGTTATATAATTCATATAGGGCGTTACCGACATATAGTAAAAAAAACTAGTTAATACATAGTTGCAAAATATGCAGTTGTCGCGTGTGTGATAGAGTTGAGCCAAACAACTGTATTACCTATCTCTATGAATGACAAAAGATTAATGTTTCAAAGTCGGAAAATTAGTCTGCTGTTTTGTTGTACCAAGGTAAACGAGTATTCGAGTGTACCTGGTCACTCGAAATTGTAATAGATTTAAATTTAATTATAAATATTTACGTCCCAAACAATGATTCTTATCTGAGACGGTATTTCAGCCTATATATTACTAAAGTATATATTTATTATCACATGGTACCTACCTAATTAATATAATTATATTGCTATTATAGTAATTTTTATTATTTTTTCACTATTAGTAATACCCTAATTGTATTAATATTTTTTAAAACTTCAAAATTATTATATTTAAATCATAGGTATTATATCATATAATATACTTATTAACTTTTGAGTCAATTCCGAAAAACCGTAGAACGGTGTGAATGGGTTCGTGGTAAAAATACCTTAAAACGTATCTAAATATTCTGAATATGTCATTGTGTATTGTAAGTATAATAATATAACTAAAAGTTTCAAGTACCCATGAATATGATTTTTAAACCACAACAAAATAACTAAAATCATTATTCTTCCTTTAAATATCTAATTTCGTCAACATTTGAACTTCAAATGCATGAAAAAAAAATAAAATTAACTTGGTTTGTTTATATTATATGTATAATAGGATTTTTGGTTAGCAGTAAGAACTATTTATGAGGAAAAATGTATTACATTTTTAAGCCTTACCTATAATAATTGAACATTTTACAATTGTTCAACTACAATCTAAGTAGGTACATATTAGAATAATAATATATTTTCGTGATTTAAACTCTAATAAAGAAAAAAATTATGACTTTGTGGACATTGATTTGAATTGGAAATTGTTTTAGTAGGTACCTTGATTATTGACAATATCGTGTACCTACCTGTATTAAAAATATTTTAATATTCTATATTCCTGTAGTGATTTTAAAAAGCTAAAAAGCCATTATTCAAAAAACTTAATAACAAATTCAAGTAAAGCAATATTTTTCTTCTAATTCTCGCGAAGAAAATATTAATTTAAATTTATTACCGCAACAAGAAAAGCAAAGAACAACCACTATTGTATCTGAAAGTGACTTACCTACCTATATAAAATATTAAAATCTATTATTGATCAATATTGTGTCCATAGTTGACTATTTAGTATTAAAATAAAATATATTATTAATTAATACTTAGATACCCCCATAAAAGAAAAATAATAATATTTTTGGAATATAAATTTAAATTATTTAATTTTTATAAACATTAAATAACACATTGTAAATAATGTTTAGTTTTTATTTTATATTGCTGTCTTGATTTTTAAATAACTGATACACACAGGCAGGTACAAAAAGTACATATTATTATTATATTACACCAAGTTAGTTTAACAAACAATTAGTTTTTACAATTTAGTTCATACAATAGAGTTGTTTATAATTTCATTTATTTTTCAATTAGATTTTTCAGCAATATATGGTTATTGTTTTACAACTTACCTAATGTCATAATAATCTTGAATTATTGTTCTTTTATATTATTTACACATTTAAAGCAAGATCTTACCGATTATGATATTTTTGATAGACCAAATGTTTAATATAATATGATGCATGTATTATTTCAAACATAATGTGTTAACTTATATAAAAAAAGAAAACATACACCTAAGTAGACAATAAAATAATAAAATTTAAAATGTATAGCTGTGTATTAAGTAGGTAGTTAATAGTAAAAAAATACATTTATGATGATACCAGTTTTGAAAATAAAATGTACATTATAGTAGTTAATCTATTGTATGAGTTATTGTAAAACAATTTTATATAATTTCCAACAAAGGAGTTCAGTTAAAGTTCTAAATTAAATATTGTTAAATACCTTCTATAATCAAACATTATCCTCACACTATAAAACGTGTTGTTATAACTTTTACATAAAAACAAATTCATCTAAAATCATTTTTTTTTTTTTTTTTAATTTAAATCAAATTGAAATTTAATATTATATTTATATATCCCATTTAATTATTTAAAACTTAAAGCATGCAAACTTCAAAGTCAGCACCCGAAAACCTTTGATATAGTTGTCGCCTTTCTTTTTGATCACACAACTTGCTTCTAGAACTCCTTTTGTAACAGTAATTCCATTTTCGCCTTCCACAGCAATATTAGATTATTTTCTTTTAAAAACTCTTCTTGATTCCTTAATATGTGATCCATTTTTAGCTGCTTGAGTACTCACGGAAACCATAGAAATTAATAAATTTTTAACATCAACTGAGAAACTCGACCGACTCTCATGAGAAATTGTAGCAAAATACTGGTATTGATGAAGGAAGTGGTCGTTTTTTAAAAATAGACAAAATTCGTCCTCTTTATTTTGTATAAGATAAGCGAAAACAGACGTCATTATTACACTAAAGAATAGTTCTTACAAATCGTTTCCACCTCAAAAGATACAATAGGATTTTTAGCTTCTATTTTAAGGTACGAACATGTAAATATTGGAACGGTCTCACAAATTCTGGGTGTAAGGTCACGGCAGATTTTAAATGTTTAGATTTTGAAAACAAGTTATATCTATTTATAAGTATTTTAGATATTTATTAGTATTTTACACATAGCACAAACTATAACTTGAACATTGTTCTTCAATAGAATAATATGTAATAACTTTAGGGTCAAGTTCCTGTTCATAATTTTTTGTCTTTAATCACGGTGTTACATATGATTTCATGAAACTCGTCGGCCATTGTTTCATCAATTCGATAGTTAGAAATCATGTCGCACATTTCATTTTTTTCATCATCAGTTAATACGGATACTTCGTCGATTCTTTCTTGCATAATATTCTGAGATTGCTCAGGCGTGGGCTCAGACAAATTAGGTGTTATCTCTGACACTTCTTGTGCAGACATTTTTTTCTTGACGGCTGACGGAAGCTTGTATATTTACCTAGGTACCTACCTAATATTAAATACCTAATACTTAATGAATAAGTGTTCAATTTCGAAACGAATAATATATATATATGTAATATAATAATACAACTACATAAATATTATGTTTATTATAAACATTAAACATACACCAAACCGAAGTGACACACGTAAAAAAATATCAACAGGTATATTGATCGTACGACAGAACTATTATCACAATACTCGCCAAAGTAGGAAAACGTAAACTAAAATTAATTTATAAAATTATAACTTATCAAATGTATTATACGAACAACTACGAATGCACTACTAAAGACTGTCGCAGTGAAGCAAACTGAGTTTAAAGTCATAACATTGTTGTAGGTACTTATCGATTTATGTGATTTAAACAATATATTGTAATAGGGTGCAACGGTCAATAATTAAATTCACAAGTGTTAGTCAATATGGGTCAATATTTAGTCATTATCTTAATTAATATGGTCACTGTTTACGCCCTTGTCACCACATATTATAATCCGAAAAAAATACAATAATAGGTAGGTACTAGTACAGGGGTGGCCAACCTTTTTTTATATTGTGCCAAATAATGTATACAAATTTGAGAATGTGCCTTAAAAAATATTTATTTCTTTACAGTTTACAAAGTTTACATAAATATAAATTTTAGATTTTTTCATAGGTACTATTTTTATTACAGTTCAATTGCAATGTTTTTTTTTTAATGATTAGGTATGTTGAATTTGCTTCATGGATATTATCATAATTTGGTTTAAGTTTAGTTGAGGATAGAAGCATCAAATTTTTCAAATGAGAATTTATTAGTTTGGTTCTATACTTATTTTTAATGAAAGTCATCCGCGAAAAACTTTTCTCACATATATATGTAGACTGTAGAGCCAAATCTGCAAACTAATTTCAAGGCTACATTATGCAATTCTGGAAAATCTTCCTCGGGTAGGCATTTCCAAAATTCTATTATCTCAGATGCCTCTTTATATTTGCATTTTAAAACTGTTGAACTTTGAAGTTCAATAATTTCCAATTACATATTAGGCTTATATTTTTTTAGATCGTGTGTCTCTATGATAAATGGATTAATAAATAAGTTAATTTAACCTGAAGTTCCTGGTTTATTAGATGCCATTTCACGATCACACACACACAACGACACAAACTACTTGTTAACGCAAGGGCACGGCGATTCTAATACGACTAACTTTATTGTAGTAATCTAATACACACGTAACGTAACAATTCTCTTATTGGAATAATAATCGGAAAATTCCACTGCGATAATATAATTTAATTTAATAATACTTATTTTTAAAAATTATATATTATTTTATTTGACTCTAGTGTGCCATTCCATAACAACAAATGTGCCACAAATGGCACGCGTGTCGCAGTTTGGCCATCCATGTACTAGTATAATAAATTATTTCCATCGACATGTCCATTAGGTATACCAATAATTAATGAATTAATAATATTGTCTGCGTATTATTCTAATGACTATAATAATATAATAGTTCTGTTTTACTTAATTATGTATGTTCAGTGTCGGTATCGTTAGGTATATTCGATAACATAATTATTACCATGTTATTGCCTATTTGCCTCCAAATTAATTTTCGAGCATAGGTAGATACCTCTCAGCTAACATATTGATAATATTTATTCGTCATTTTTGGTGGTTTTGGTATTTTATTTCGGTAAATGTTTGACAGTTGTTACAATTGTTACAATTATAGCAGAATAATAATATTGTCGTCATCACATCCTGAGGTACACCAATTAATGTATATTTGTGTTATCAAATCGTGTTATTCCCATAATTAATATTGTACCTGTAACTAAAAATCGTTTCAAGCTACTTGGTAAATTAACATAATATAAGTAGGTATTGATGATATTTATTCGTAATTTTTCATGGTTCAGAATTTCGGTAAACGTTTGATTAGCTATGATTATACGAAAACCCTTGGGATAATCAAGTTACTTTTGTTGAAATTATATATGTATAGGTACCTACTTATTACTTACCATTTACCAACTATTGAACACGGGTGATACATATACTTCGTACTTGAATATTTGAATGCTTATAACTGATGTCGATATTTTTGCGAATTACACGTAGTTCATGAGTGGTATTAAATAGCAATCCGTAAAACCGGGCTGTTGCGAGCAAAATTATACAATATGACATTTTGATGAAATTCAAAATTCTAGGAAATATATGAATATAATAATTATTATAATTATTATGATCTAAAAAAAATTGCGTTTGATGCTTATACGATATTTTTTAATTCTTTTTCATTATTATTAATACTCAAATTAAGTTTGTATATATAGATACAAAATACAAATAATCGTACCTACCATAAATAAATAATAAATTGGTCTTATATAGTTATATAATATTATGTTTGCATAAAATTCTGATAAAATATTTAACAAATGTATCCACATATTATATAATTATAATATTACATATTAAATAATAGGTATAGCCGGTATAGGTATGCCTAAATATTTAGTAATTTATAAAATATCATCAAACGAAAAATATCGCAAAATGTAATTTATAGAATTTCATTGAACAAAAAAATAAAGTAAAAGTTAAAAAGTCTTTAAATATTATATTGGTTCCGTAAAAATTAAAAATTTTTATTTCATGCATACGGACATTAGTATTGATTATACCTATTATATTCTGTATCCAGGCCATTACCTAAACGCAATAGTTAATTTTAATACATTTAATAGGTATTAACACTATTCTAAATAACGAAAAACGCAAAACTTGTATAACGTTTTAATTCTAAATAACGATAAACCAAAAAATGTTGTAACGTTTTAATTGTTAATAACATAAAGAGGAATTTTTTTCAAATGCAAGCCCTGGTAATAGCGTACGCACCATAGTTCATATGACACATATAAATATTATAGTAATTTTATTACTTGATTGTTAAATTTAAATATCTTAGTAAGAACATTATATTGAAAATGTAAAAGAAAAGTTATTTTATTTAAATATTGATTTTTGTTTACTTTTGTGGTAAAAATATTAAATTTAAAAAAAAAATAATAATTTTGGTGGTGTTAGTTTTAAATAAAGGTAAACTTCTAATTTTATTAGTCTTTGTTTTTTTTTTAATAAAGACTAATTTTTGAGTTATTTTGTTAAAACATTTTATGTAAGATACGCTACCTTTGCGTGGTATTGACTAATGTAGGAATTTGTACTTTATATTATTATGTTTCGAATAACATTTATATTTATGACTAAAATTATTTATACAAATATTTGTATGCTATGAGGCTCAATATTTGCTATACCCGCTATAAATAAATAGATGCGTATTAAAATATTTTATATTTTAAATTAAAAGTTTTTCTTGCCATTTATAATCTAGCTAATAATAATGACTATGACCTCCACATATTGTGTTTGATTTTGACCTAATCTAATACAAAATAATATGTGCTATTCATAAATTCATATTTTCTTCAAATATAACCTTTAACCATAGGAATTAGATACCAATTAGACCATATTTAACATTATAACTGCTTTTGAGTAATAGTAATATTGTATTACGTTATTAAAATATAGAAAAAGAATTTTCTTTTTCATTACCTAATGTTTTACACTTTTAAACAAGTACCTACCTAAGTACCGATATTTTTAGGAAAATGTTTGAGGAATATATTATAATGATACTTTTGATTTCAGACCAAATACATATTTTATTTAGTATACTTCATTAATTAAAAAAATGAATAATATTAGTATTAATATATTTAAACGTATAACTGTATATGAAGTACAACAATTTATGATGATAACACCTTTGAGAATAAAATAGAAAGACAATTATAATTAGATTATGAATATGAAAATAATAATTTAAGTATACTAATTAATATCGTACAATAATTAACTGCCTAATTATAATCTATTATATAGGTTGGTTTCAAACAATTTCTATTATAAATATTTAAATATATTAAAATCAATATTATTGACTAAATATTTCATATATTATTTTGAACTTAATTAACTTAAAAAATGTATAATAATATTAATAGTAAATTAAAATAAATAACTGTATAAGAAGTAAAACAATTTAATATGAATATATGATGATACCTACAAGCTTTTAGAACAAAAATGTGTAAAGACATGATATTATACTATAACTATTAATTATTAGATTATGCACATATAAATAATAATTTCAGTTTTAATAATTCATATTGTACAATAATAATTAACTAGGTAGGTACCTACCTAATAGTGATCTATTGCATGAGTTAGTTTTAAACAATTTTTATACAATTTTCAACAACGGAGTTAAATTAAAATTCTGAAATAAATAGATATTGCGAAATACTATAGTCTGGGTAATGATTCACCCACTATAAACCCTGTTGTTAACATATACATTAAACAAATTTAATAAAAATAAAATAAATAAAAATAGACTCATCGGAAATTGTTTTTTTTTTTTTAATGTTAATGTTTAAATACAGTTAAATAAAATTTACCAGCTTAACACCACGTTGAGTAATCATCAGGGTCCATACCAGACAACTTAAGATCTAATTCGAGTTGTCTTTCTTTTTCGTCCCACAACTTAACTGCTTCTAGAACTGCTTCTGTGACAGTTATTTCATTTTCAACTTCCTCGATTATTAGATCATTTTCTTTTAAAAACTTTATTTGATCCTCATACTGCACATGCGATCCATTAATAGCTGCTTGAGTTTTCACGTAAATCTTAGAAATGAATTCATTTTCAACATCATATGAGGAATTCAGATCACTCTTTTGCGAAATTGTAGCAAAAAACTCGTATTGATGAAGTAAGTGGGCTTTTTTTAATAGTAAAAAATATTCACTCTCTTTATTTGGTATAAGATACGCAAAAGCAGACGTCATCATTACTCTAGGATAATTC